TTTTGACTCTACAATGTACATGCTGTTAATACCGTCAAACATGTGATATGTGCTTCTGTGCAATATATACTTTTTTCTCTACAAAACATATCCATCTTTAATAACTGCTAATATATACGAGGCTGCTAAATGCCTAAGAACTGTTACAGGAATTGATTTTTTTTGATCTGTATTTTTTGAACAAATTATGTAATTCTTTAAGTTTTTCTTTTTTTAGCATAATTGTAGGTATTATATTATAACGTAGTAACTTTTTTAGCATATTGTTTAATTATAAAATTATAACTTAGTACTTTTTTTAACGCATGTAAGATAATGCAACACTAAGCGTCTGTGGGCTCTTTCCTGCTGTACGCTGCAAATTTCCCTCTGTGGGACCTAATAAAGGTAATTCTGATCCTGATTCTGACATCTGTTTCAGTCAAAACAGTGTTTATTTTAATTTTATTGGGATTTGCAGCTTATTTATAGGTCAGGTTGATATTGTGTGAGAGGCCATGGAGTAATGCTGTACACATTTTGTGTATTAAAAGCAAATCTAATAGAATATGTATTGCCATTTCTCATGCAAGAATGGCAGACATTTGCTGGTTTTATCTTCAGTATCTCCAGTTGTAAGCATGTGTTGCTTTGTTCTGTTTATATGTTGTTTGAATAACTTTTGTGGTTTTAGTTTATTGAACAGACAGCACATGCAAGCTACGACCTGGAGTAATGAACATGAGGGGCATTTTCAACAATGTTTTTGAATTTGTTTTGACATTGTAGAGATCAAATGATTAATAAAATAAAATGATAACAACACATTTTAACATGTTTTTACCTCATGGACAAAATACACCTTGGCTCCAGTGTAAATTCCCACTCGAACTGTGGCCCTCACTGCTGCATTCATACCTGTAGGCAAAGTGTTTGAGTACATTGTAATTAAAGCACCTTGTGCTCATACAGTGATCAGTGATAGTGGAAATGTATTCCAAGAAACACAAATAGGCCGGCACCCTTAACACGCAGGGGTTCGCTTAAAGGACAAGATGTGGATAGATTAACATTATGGGTGCCACTGCCAAGAGAAGCTCCATTTACAGTGTAGAGGAGTAGAGGAGAGAAAGAAAAGGAAGGAAGGCCGTCTCACGTCACCTCCCTGCTTTACAAACACATGACAGAAAGGTCATAGCTCTAAAATTAGCCCTCATAACAGATACAGTGTTGAAGAGAGAGAGAGGAAGGAGAAACATATGAAGAAACATTGACCTGTGGAAATCAGGATGACTAAAATGGTAAAGTTGTAATGACGATATTGGAGAGAAAAAAAGAAAAAGGGTGAGGGTTAGCAAACTCTGAAGTTTTGTATTATAGAAAAGTCCCGTAAAGTCTTATCAAGATTTAGGCAGAAAAACAGATGCATGAACAACTCCCTGTGTCACACCCTAAGATGCTAAGGGTTGGGTGGGGTAACTGACCTACTTCCCAAAGGTCACAGTGGAGATGTTCCTCATCAAGTTAAAGGTCAGGTGAAAGCTGTCTGCCTCAGGATTCCTAGACGCTAGATGAAGTCATTCTTGTGCCCTTTTCCATAAGTTAGCTCAATGAGATAGAAGGTCAAGGTAACTCGGTAGCAATAGGTATATCATTAAAGTATTATAATCACCAGTAAAAATACACGTGTCAAATTTGATATAAAACTGAACGCAATTATGATTGAATATAACACTTAGATGGTCTAGACTTTAAGTAAAACTTTTATTTCCAAGGCTATACCTACCTTAAGGTCTTTCAGAACACTTAAACCCACGCTATACAGACATTTGTAGGCTACAGGTATTGTCAAAAACGACCAATGACTATTTTATATTTCAGGGTTTCTTGATCACTTGTGAACAATGTTTCACTATTTGTCACTAAACCCTGCTGTTGAGATACAAGGAGCTTCCCACCTGCTGAGGCAAACACGCAGCACACATGCTCTTAGCACTCCACGCTAACATGCCACCCTGGACAGCCTTCACTTACCCTGGGCATCGCCTCCCGAGGTAAGCACGGCGATCGACCGACCCGCTCCCATCTTGGTGGGGTCGGTGGAAGGCGGTTGTGCCATAGTCCTGGAGCAGAAGTCCGCTGAGGGAAAGAGGCCTTCAGTGTAAATCTGTGTGAAGTACAAGGAGCCTCTCACCTCTAACTCTGCCTGCGCTATGGAAAGTAATACCAGAGGCAAGAGTGCCCACCTTAACTATCCACTTGGCAGACATCGAGACACACATAGTTGCACATTTAGACACACACACACACACACACACACACACACGCACACACACACACACACACACACACACACACACACACACACACACACACACACACACACACACACACACACACACACACACACACACACACACACACACACAACACACACACACACAGGCTATTAAAAGTATTCAGCCTCTCATATCTGTTAATCACAGTGGGTTACTTTTATTCTTTTGTCACACTTATCTTTAAAAAAAATGAAAAACCTATAATATCTATACATTTAAATATAAAACACGAAATAATACATTGTATAATCTTTGCACATACATTTTTCACAATTGTTCCCATTTCAAGATGCATGCCCATGAGGGAACAGCAGTTTTGACACTAATCCTGAACACTGACCACTGCAGGGCAAGGTCATCCCTATTTTATTTATAATTTTTAAATTTGGGGCCTTGTCTTGCTGGAAAATTTGACTTCCTGGTTAGACTACTTTTGCAGACTGCGGCAGTATTTTTGTTTATAACTCCTTACAAGAGAGAAGGGTAAACTATACTCAGATATGATTTGCTTGTATTATAATATACGTCAAAGTTTAGCTGGAGAAGTGAAAGGCATGGGAAGCAAAGCAAGGCATGTTAGGCATTTAACTATCTGCTGTCACAGCACCTGCAGGTACAACACCAATTAAAGTGTGTTTTTGGGCACCATATACAATTACATTATGGGAAGGTGATCTCTGAAAGTGTTGTGTCTTTAACATTTCCCTGTCAAGGTAATGCAGTCAAGCTTACCAGTGACCCCAGGTTGATCACAGTTTGAAGTCGGCTTGTTTTCCCATTCAGATGTTGAGAGGTCATTACAACCTGAGAATGGATAACCATAACAGCAACCCAAATTGTATCCATAAGGCATTCCAGAGTGCATGGCAAAAGGGTACTGACATGATAAACCTCCCTTTATAAAGACAGAACACTCAAGCATTATTCCTCCACACTTTGTCTCATCTAAAGCACTCATGATCACTTTGTAACATCCTCTATCTGAACATGTCAGGTTAGTTTACTCCTACTGGCCTTATGGTGTCTTTATATGAGCTGAAGCTGATAGGCTGGTTACTGAGGATTGTGTACTGGGGGAAAAGCACATAAATAAATGTTGCACATATTTCTATGTAAAACAAAGAAACATATTCATTCTCTGAATTTAACAACTTACAATAGACAGTTCTTTAAAGATTGATTGTTTTATTTTGTGCTAGAAGATGAAAATGGTTGCACACAAACAAGACCGCTGGGTATTATAAATTGATAGCTCCCACTCACAAAGCCTATAATTCATAGCCTGTAATTCACACACCCATTTGTGCTTGGTTTGACATTTCCTGGCGTAAAATATTTTTGTTTCGAGGGAAATCCAAACCCCATGATGAGACAACTGTCAGTTACTTTTAAATTGACTCCTCTTCCACTAGCAGACACATTATATTGAGTTAGTCTGGATATATGAAACTGAGTAATTAGATACAGTGCAGTTCTAGACCTAACAAAACAATCAATGTGACAACAGTGAGTGGGAGTAAATGTTGCAGGCAGCTCACTGAAGTTGTCTTTAAATAGATATCTGGATGTAGACACAGTACTGCTATCTATAACAACACAAAAACCCCTCCCCCTGTTCGGCCATTACTGTAAAACTGCACTGTCATCCCTACTACTGAACATGCCAAAACATGTCATGCTTCTGTATTTATGACCTTTTGACCTGATACATGAATATACACTTCTTTTCCCCTCAAAAAAGACACCTCAAGGTTTCCATATATAAAAAAATCAGGCAACTACAAGTATTCATACAGTTAAATGCACTGACTGAAATGACCAATCAAAGAACAAAAACATGCGTTAATACCTTGACGTTTCCTTCTGAGCCAGAGCAGCAGCAAGGCCAGCAGAGGGACAGAGAGGAGCCACGCCGCTGACGGGACGCCCGGGTACCACATCCTCACAGCGTCTCTCTGTTTCAGAAACCATTCTGCATCTGATCTGTATTAATAGCTTTGATATCACTACTTCATTGTAGAGGGATGACCTTCATTGCTAAAGCATGGTGGGTAACTAAATACAATCCACAAGTCTCTGTAATTAACAGAAGGCAGCAGTGCTAGGGGGCGCGGCACAAGTAACACACTATTGTGTAGAATTATAGTATAAAAAAGGCCATGTTGACAGAGAAATAGAAACCTCTTCCGATATGAAATATTTTGTCTTAATGTGGCACATATAGTATAGCAAATACCTTTCATCAACACACCTACCTTTTCTTTGATTATATATATACCCAGTACATTTACTAGTGTTGGGAAGTAATTAACAAGTGGTATAATTACATTAATTATTGCATATTGAATACACTAGTTAAATCATAATTACATGTTATGTTTTATTTTAGGCCATAAAACGATGTACGCAAAAGTGATGAGTCAACCAACAGGCCCTGTGCTCAAGTTGGGCAAACAGTATAAAATGTGCAAGTTATAAATATTTTTGGAAGGATATGCATTATTTTTGGGATTTATGTGTGACAAGTGAACAAACGGAAGATGACACAATTCAGAGGCTTTTTGTGCTGTCATGTGACTATTTTGTTTAAACAACTTTGATATATGTCTGGAACGAAGTGTGAACACAACTCCCCTCAAAGTTATTAGCTTCTTAATGGTTGTATTTTTGTATTTTTTCCTCAATTGTGTACATAAATTGCAAAATTAGAACGAGCTAAATGTATTCATCTCATATACATCACAATATGTTATAACAATTCCTTATATTATTCCTGATGTTAAAAAATAATACATTTTTTATTTGGTGAACTCCGTTACTCTGACTTCATGTAAACCACACGTGGCAGCATACACGTAGCTGTGATATGAGGTGATAGTGGGTCAGTGTTATTTAAATCACTGCTGATTGACAAATACACACACACACACACACACACACACACACACACACACACACACACACACACACACACACACACACACACACACACACATACAGAGTTAACACTTTTTAAACATTAAAATCAAGGACGTTTTTAAATGACTTTCCAGGCCCAATGCCCTAAATTTCAAGGACCCAACATAGTGTAGATTGAGAACCTTGCTGGCCTCCTACTGTTTAGCATGCATCCTTTGACCCTCAATTACTGATGCACGTGACTGTAACACTTTCTCAAGACAGGTGGAACATGAAGCAATGACGCAAAAGCAAGAGACATGTAAACAGCGAAACATAGCCCAATTCAATACAAAATATTTCAATACCTTAAATTTATATTTTGGCACAAATAAATTAAAGCCATTTCATTGACGAATGTCAGTTTATGTCTATTTTTAAGATCTTAAGGTCTTGATACAAAAATGTGAGGTTTACACACTTTCAAAGATTACAAAAGCCATACACACAAACTATAGGTAACCCTAGACTCGTCCTGGTACAAAACAGAAATGTCAACAACAGTTTTTACATTTAAATTGGTCCTCACAAAAACAGTACAAAAGCAATAAAAACAAATATAATGATAAATAAATGAAATTATTTATCTGTGAAGGTCATGACTCTCCCTTAGCATCATATTTTCCCACCAGCAACATGACTTCTAAAGCAGACACATCACTGTGAAAAAAAGTGAGTTTGTCATAAGCGCACGTATCCGGTGGTGTTTGTTTGTGCAGAATCTTTCCAATACTCTGCGCCCCAGGTGGGTTAAGCGACGTGTAGCCCTCTCTTGAGGCAAACCCCGATCAATAGCACCATTTCCAGGTAATCCTCCCTCCTGTCCTCCCGGACAGTATCAACACTCGCACAGCCTGTAATAAACAATATGGATCAATACAACACTGGTTCAACACAAAAACACTTCCACCTCAGATAATGCTGTGAAATGTGGACTGCATATCGTTACAATCTGACCCCTCAAAGCCTTCAATTATGTAAAACATATGGTAAGTAATTAGATCATGAATGGGATTGTTAGAAACTGACTTGTATTACGGCGACACAGTTCTCTATGATTGCAAGATTGTTTCCAAATGAGTACATGCAAGTTAATTTTGCATAAAGAAAGTAATCTGGCATTTAGAATGATGAAACTGCGTGGTCATCATTAGGCCTAAATTGTGTGATATCACATTTGTGTTTTAGTACACAGATTAAAACTTGGTACAATCACATACTGTATAGCTGCAATACATAGTTAAAACTGAGTATCGTGGTCACTTTAACAACTATTAGGACAGATTGATCATACAGGGGCGTTCTAGTGAACAAAATTCAGTCTAGCATTTTTGTCATTTGCCATTCACCAAAGTGAAATCAATGATTCCACAAAATATGAGTATTTACAGTTTTTTAAATGAATACCTTCAATTAATAAGTTTGAACATGTAAGTCTGGGCTGCATAAGAGTAAAAAAAACGTAGAAAAAGTATTCATAATGCAATGTAAATGTCAGTACTATGCTGTACTTCAGTGCAGATTCTCTAACTTCTTTCAGCTCTCAGCCAACAGGTGGCAGCAGCATCTGATCTTCCCCGTCTCTGTGTTTATCGGACTGAGAAGCACATGCAAAGTCTGGCCCAATAAATCATGCACTGAAAGTGTCAGTGCAAATTTTGTTAGATTTTATTGCTGTTTAATCATCTCAATGAATGTTTTAATAGGCTGATATTAAAGAGCGAATGGCAACGCAGTGATAAATTGTGTGGGGTGAGATGGCCCCCTCCCCCGGCCCCCCGCCTTACCCCTCTCATCTTCCCCCTTTCGCTGCAGAGAATCACTAATGTAGACTTGCACAGCTATTTGTCCACTTATTGGTTATATAATTAGATTATTCATATTCATTTTTACAACAAACAGACTTATCTGTAATTGGCCATGAAGCAATAAGTGATGCTGGGCTGGCTTTTCTTCACTTTCCAACTTTTCCCTTTGTCTTATTTCAGTTCTTAATTTGCTTATTGTTTTGTTTTCCTTCTCCTAATTCAAAAAGCATTTAATGGATTCATCAAGTTGGACCACCGTGCTCCACCTTACTCACAGTCCTCCCCCAACATTTAGCATATCTTTACCCCTCCTCCACTCTCAGAGGATTACTCTATTTCTCCATTTGTCATCCCCCCATATCTCTTTCCCATTATGTACATATCTTAATCGGCCCATTTTCCACCCCTCCTCGATGTAATCCATTCCCTATTTTATCTTTTTTCTAGTTCTTTTTTGACCTTCAGTTCCCCGGCTTCATTACTCTCCACCGATGTCTGTATTTCATCCCTGTTTTCCTGCCTGAAAGGTGGTAACGGAATGCAAAATCAACATGGCTGTGACATTTCGGGCACCAATCCTCCCCCATTCAGGCTTTGTCTCATATATACTGTTGTCCTCTGTGTGGATGTATGATGTGTGGTATGACTCTTCTAATAAGGACATGGATGAGAGAATGGAAGAGGCTGGGGGCTGTAATTAAAGACCGAAGGGTCTCTGTGAATAAGTAGGGAGGGGCAGTAAAACGGTGGCTATCTGCTGCTGGAACAATAAATCAACCTGCCCGTTTAGCCGCCCTCAATGCGATATCACGATACACCATTCAGCCCCCCTCTTTGCAAAAGCAATTCCGTCATGTCTTGTTAGCTCATTCGTCTTCATCAGCACCAGTGGGAGGTTCAGACCCCCCTTATCCCCAAACTCACCTCGAGCTGCCCCCCCCTCCCAATGCCAGGCACCATTGATCAAAGCAAAACCAGCCTGTGCATCATGCATTGCCATGGGTGTCATATCATTCACACACACACACACACACACACACACACACACACACACACACACACACACACACACACACACACACACACATCTCCTGTTGTGCAAGGCTGATTTGAAAGAAATTTAATTATTGAAATGCAATTAATGCAGCGCTCTGTGGGAACAGGCGGCACACACGCACGCACTGTTCAACACCAACACAGGAGGGCATATGGAGGATACAACCAGATTAACCAGCGATTCGGATGCACATGGGATTAATGCATTGAGATGATGACTGGAAAGGATGTTTTTTCTGAATATGGATCTGATGGAACTCTGTGCATACATGAGGATTTAGGAGGTCATTATCTTAGTTGCAGAGATAAAGAGATCATAGGTGGATTGAGAGGGTGAGACATAAGAATGAGCACTGAATTGCTCCTATTGACCATGTTTTTGCTCACATGGTGTCTCATGAGATAACATGAGGTGCAATACCATTTTTCACATATCATATTTAAGTTTTAATTACAAGAGATGTGTTGTGTTGATCTCTTTTTTATTTCTGAACTAGCTTCAACCTACCATGAATTGTCAGCAAAAAACATCTACACAAACCTGTATGCAGGAATAACAAGTGGTGTGTGTGTGTGTGTGTGTGTGTGTGTGTGTGTGTGTGTGTGTGTGTGTGTGTGTGTGTGTGTGTGTGTGTGTTTGTTTGTGTATGGGGTGGGGATACGGTGGGATCCGGCTACTACAATCTGCCTTCACACACACTCACTCACTGCGCCTTTGCCTGTATTTCAAGGACAAGAACCACACTGCACTGAGCGTGTTTCTAATGGAAGAGACTATACAAAAACCAGAGTTACCATTATAACCCACAAACAAAATGTGAAACAGCATTGGATGGTGGACACGGGAAATATCTTTAGTCAAAACGCGTATGGAAATAGGATTGGCTCCAATCTGCGTCTCCACCCTCCCCCTTGTTAAAAACCTACACATGTTGATTATAGCGTCATAACCCCTATTATAATGCACCTTAAAAAAAATACAGCACATTGCTACACCAACATACACCTTCAATATTCTATGGACAAGCTCAGAAATTGGTAATTGTTTTCTTCCAAAAAATAAACATTTACGGTTTGTTGTCCTGTCATTTCATTCAAATAAACCAGTGCAGGTTTAGTATGGGAACCAGTTGTAGGTTATGACAAAATACAAAAAATCGTCTCTTACCGATAAATGGTGTTTGGTTTGATGGATGGATGTGTCTCTCTGCTGCTCTCCTCCAGAACCGCAGCTCGATGCCTGATCGTTTGCCGCAGACCACGCCCCCTCTCTACACTGATTGGTCCAATGAACGTCTGCCAAAGAGTATGAACGTGAAACGAAATAGTTCCTTGTTCCTGTTTCCGTCTTTGCTTTATTGAACGATCAATAGTTTGCCCTTATCTTATAAATAGTTGCTAAAGTCTAAAGTTACCTTCCATTTCTTCGTTTTTATATAGATGTGTAGAAAAATCATTTGATTTTTTCAATTGCTCATTTCATTTCACATACCTCAATTTCTATGGATTCTAGCTAGGCCTAACATGTCCCTTCTACAACGGTTAGCCTAGTTTGTTTTGAGAAAATAACCAGTTATATTGTTAAATTAATAAAGTTTGAAAAGGTTTTTAAGAATTCCCGTTAATATGTAAAAACCGAGGCGTTTTGATTTAAAGTTTAAAGCTGGAAGTAGTTGACATGGGAAGATAACTATCTTGTCCCACAGTGCGGCAGTTAATTTCGGGTCGTTCTTGCTATTTTTACTCCAAATAAATACACCACCCTACCGAGGACAGAGAGCCTTGTTGTTCGCTTTTTTAGGAAGTGGAAAAGGTAGTGCGTAGCTATGTAAACGCAACATCTGGTTAAAACACCCCACCTGTACACACTTTAGGGATTTGTAGTCTTTTTTGGTGGCCATCAGAACGGCAACCGACGCAGCAGACTCGCCGAACGAACTACAGACGGCCGACTCTGCGATACCAACTGACAGCTCGCGACACCGCCCACCCTGGCTCTCGCTTCAGCTTTGTCAGGCAGAAAACTTCCTGAATGAGACACAAACCACAACAAGAAGAGGGGAGATTGAAAAAACGAATCAGTCATTTATTCTTATATACATTTTTGTACATTTCCGTTCTTTTATCACAGACATTAGCTAGCTAGTTTGGTTAGCTAACCACGGTATTGATCACCTGTTCTTATCCCAACGGCTAATCTCATGTTAACGCTACCTGGCTGTAGATATTATTAGCTTTTTAACATCAACTACAGCCTGTTCATTGGCACGCTGCTTGTCTTCTCTTCATTAAAAATACATCTCAACACAGGTAAGTGTCTTGCTCTTTCAGTCAACGACATGTTTATTTATTTACCGGTTAGTTAAACTGACAAACGTGTGGGGGTAAATAGGAGTTGTTTAGTATAGTTAAGGTGATGATGAGGCACTTTACCTGTGCTTAACGTATAATGGGAACCGCGGTGCATTTCTGGGTTGTCGCAGCTGTCAATATTTATCAGCATTTATATATTTGGTGTACAGTGGTGTAAAGTAACGAAGTAGATTTACTCAAGTAATGTAGTGAAGTACCATTTTGAGAGACTTTACTGGAGTATTTCAATGTGTTGCTGCTCTGTACTTCTACCCCACTACAAATCAGAATTAATTAATCTACTTCAAATCCACTAAATGTATTTAATACATTGACTTACTTTGTAGATTTGTATAAATGATATGAAATATAATCAACACTAAAATAATCTTTAGTTACACCTGGAGTAACATTCACAAGCTAATCTGCAGCATACAAAGTAATTAACAGCTTTGATAAACACATTAATGCATCAATAATTATAATCAAAACATATTAAATTATTGTGAAATGGACCAATTTGCATGAGTAGCCTACTTTAAGTATATTTTGATGCTAATACTTTTGTACTTTTACTTGTAACAGAGTATCTACACTCTGGTACTTCTACTTTTACTTAAAGGTCACCTATCATGCTATTTTTAGGCGATAGCATAGGTCTCAGATATATACAAATATATAAAAAACATGTCTATGAAGTGTTTTGCTGAAAATACCAAACAGATCACCCATTCAAGTCATGCCCTCACATCCCTCTATTTCACTTCCTGATTCAAAAGTGCTGAATTGGGGTATAAAGCAAAACAAATGTATTAAAAAAAGGAGGGGGCTGAACTCATGCGGGACCCGGCAGCTACTGTCTAAACTAAATACTGCCGTGATGAAACGCCATATCATGGATTAATAAGTGAAAGAGCCATTTAATGTAGGTGTATTATTATTTATGGTAAATATTTACGTTTGGCGAGACAGTTAAATATTCTTTGAATTTAACTTTTATAATCTTGATTTGAAATGATTCTGTTTTTGTATTGTTTTGTTTGTTTAATTACGACCCAGTTCCATGCGGTAAAAAGACGACTATAATGTGCATTTAAATTACGCTTCGTACGTGAAGTCTCTTCAGCTTATTAACCACAGGCCTCTTACCACGAATACATACAAAAAACAGTTCAGTTCAAACGAGGGAACCAGAAGTAAAATGCTAACACATTCCCGGGTTTAAGGACTCATTCCTGCACCACTCTATTCATATTAGCAACCACTGCCATTCTGGACCTGTTTTTGTAACCCTTTACTTTGTGTAATAGTGGTTAGTGTGTTGCAGTGTCTCTGTGTAAGACATTTGAATAATGTTAGGAAATTCTCCACAATTAATAACTTGTTAGCTGGTTAGGATTTTAATCTTTGAGTTAACAAACAACATATTTTGGTTGAACACTTTAGTTGTCTCTCTTTTTCCCAGGGTGTCATCTTTTTATTATTCCCTTATCCCGTAGAACTGTGGGGAACCTAACAACGGGGCAAAATGAAACACCTCAATTAAATGAGTTCAAAGGAGGACTATACATTCACTGACAGGTCTTCACATGGTTTCTTCAAGACACACTTTTTATATAAGCTAATTCCCTACCCTCCATTAAATGTCCACACATCTGCTGTGTGAAGAATAGAAATAAGAATAGTCTCCTATTTTATGCTGTCAAAGTGCCATACAAAAATGCAAAACGGCCTAATAAAATGAGGATATTATAGATATTTTTCTCTGAATTTAACCAATGGGATTCACTGTTTCATCATGTCAAAATGTAGTCATAAAAATCCCTCAATATGAATTCCTCGGTTCGATATTTATCACTGACATTTTATTGCAGCAGTATAATGGATAGGGTGTACCTTATTCAGGTATGACTCATGCCAGTTTTGTCACCATTGCACCCGGTGGAACAGTAAAGCTCGCAGCCCTCGGCGATGTGGCTGTTATGTGATGATCATGTCAGTGACTAAAAGGCATTCTGGGAAGCGGTACACGTCACATTTTATGACATCTAATCGGAAATAATAAAGCTGGTGTTGGAATTATTAGCAAAACGATTGTTTGAATGTATTCCATCTTTGACTAAGAAGATTTTCTGTCCCCCATGTTCAATGCAGAAACATTTAGACACAACTAAATTGATTTGTAATTGTAATCATGGAGAGGTGGATGATATGACAGATCTTAAAAACTTAAAGAAAACATCTTAACTTCCCCCTGGTGGCTGGCTGCAGTAAAAATCGGAACCCCCCCCTCTGTTAGCCGATGGGACATTAGGAAAGTCAAACTACAAGTTAAATACATGTTTTCCCATTTTAAGTTCTTATGATGTTGATGGATTTTCAGGTACATGTATTGTGTTTTCGGATTAGTTGGTTTTAATGTGTTATTGAATGCCATGGGGTATTCATACTTAACAGCCGAAGGATTGGGAACGGTACAATGGAGGTGGTGTAGCTTAACGAATCATAACTGTCACAATGCTGTGTCATAAAACCACGGTTGCTAACAAGTCACAAAATAAGACTACCAAATGTCACCACGCTGGACATAAGCCACCTTTAGCTTAGCGGTGGTGACGTGAAGTCATGCTAGCACGATGTGGTTCCTTTATAGCCTAATGTTAACTTTTTAGTTCCGGTGATTGCATTTGCACTTCAAAAATCACAAAGTGGTGTTAATATGTGGAGATTATCCTACTGAACAAAACGTTCTGCAATATACTGAAATCAAAAGGAAAAATCCCATTGCTTTTTGTTGAGGGAGCCTTTCCGATGAGGACTTCGGGCCTACAAAAGCTTCAGTTTACTTGCCAGCCAAAAAGCTACCGTGGTGCTAATTTAGCTGCTAAAGGGCTCACGCTAGCTAGATGTAGCAATGCTAGTAGTCTCTTAATTGGATCGTAATATGTATGGGCCCCGAAATCCCCCTGATCACAACTGAATAAACCCTGGCTCAAAGTGACGTCAAAATATCAAGATGGCCGCTCCCATATTCAGAATAATTTGGTTTTCTCTTTTGGGCAGAGGTCGAGGCACGTTGTCCATCTTTGTATACAGCCCATCATTGTAACCATGGGACAGTTTTTAAAACCTTTTCTTTGATTAAATCCCATACTCTTGTCCATCGCACCTGCCACCATCCATCTCTCCCTGCTGCTTGTTTACCTGCCCTTGTGTTCCTTTTCATCTCCTTCAGGTTCTTGTCAGCCTCCTTGAGCAATTGAATGAGGTGAAACTGGCAACAGTGGACAACCGCGCACACAAAGGGCCATCGATCAGTCAAGGATGATCATGGAAGACATGAAGAATGAAGCAGACGCTGCCTCGATAGTTTCTATGGCTGTGTACACTGTGATGTTCCCCGTCTTTAACCAGGTAAAGAATGCAGAGTTTCAGTTCAAAGGAAATAAAGACATGTTGATTAGGCTTGTGGTAAATACTCATGTGGAGTAGAGGAGGTTGTGATGGGTGTGTGTTGAAATGCTGCGAGGTTAACTCTAAATGGGATTCTATTCAAGATTCTTCTGCTGTGTTTACTTCCTGTCTGTCTTCTTCTGCTGTTCCTGTTAGTGTTTACTTCCTGTCTGTCTTGTACTGCTGATTTCTCTGACATCCAGCACTGTCTATTCACTTCCTATATACTGTTGTGCCATTTTCTTGTTGATGTTCTCTTTTTCTTATCTTTGAAATATCTCAACAGCTATTGGATGATTTGTTCCCCTGAGTATGAATTATGAAAGCTTTGCTTATCATAAAATCTGCTTCTGTTGCACTTTGTTGTTAGTGCTAATCAGCTAATATATATAAATAATAATAATAAAAGCAAGTCAATGTTATATAAGCTAAACCTTAGCATGTTAGCTGATGTTGTTGCTGATTGTTCCCAGT